ATAAGGTCAGCTCTAGTAAGAGATATGCTAGGAATGGAAAGAATAAGAAGGCTGATAGTGAAACGCTCTGCTGCAGAATTTATAAAATGGCATCTTGAAGCTAGAAAAAGAAAGAAGAAAAGATCAAGGTGATAGTACTCTTGTGGCGGTGGTGGAACAAACGGACTACATAGAAGAAGTTAAAAATATGAAGTAATGCTATATATTACACTGGGAACGTACGAAATGATATGCTAGGAATGGAATGAACGAACGGACTTGTGGATTGTGATGCCTGGGAATTATTGTAATATGAGACTTAAGTTTTGTCAGATTTTTGGAGTAATTTAGTTTTTTGAACATAGAGAGTGCCTGTGATGGCCTAACTATACCTGAATTATGCCAATTTTTTTGTCGAATATGCTACTGATCATTTTGGGGAAGTTTCAAACATTTTTGACAAACAGATTTAAATTACCAAGTTACATTTTCAGCCCCTTTTGGTCAAATTTTGAACAAAAAATGAGACTGCCCAAAACAAAAAAAATGTAAATCAAAATTAAATTTATTATTATTCCAGGTACGTTTCAGACATTTCTATTGGATATATTAAAAATATCCTCGAATTTCATTTTCTGTCCCATTTTGATCAAAAAATGAAATTACCCAGAAATATTTGTTTTTTGTAAAATCAACACTAATATACTTGGCATTATGGAAAAACTTCAACTACTTTTGCCTAACAGGTTTAAAAATACCATAAATTACATTTATAGCCCCCTTTTTTGTCAATTTTTTTACCATAAAATGGAAGTGTCCAACATTTTTGAAACAATAATCTAAACTTAAAACTAACAAGATTATTATTCTAGGAACATTTCATACATTTTTTCAACAGAATTAAAAAAGAACATAGATGGGAAACCTCTTGATTCTCCAAGTGCCGAAAGGCCTTTTGGTATTGCGTTTGTTGGGCATATGGATAGCTCTTCCATTGTCAGTGCATGCAATCAAGGTTTCCAAGCATACATGGAAACCCTCTTGATTCTCTAACTACAAAAAGGGGTGGTGTCCTCGACATTTGGTTCTCTCAAGTACTCATTTCCAAAATCAGACAGTGATTATGGTCGGAGCCCTGTTGGAGTTGTGTCGAATATAGTGTACGATGTGGGTTACAGTTGGACTTGTAGTTGTATTGTGTTTACATAGGATGTGGAGTATTGTCCTAGTAGGACACTTGTATCCTAGGCCTCTCATATATAGTGGGGGTAAACACACGATGTAACCTATGCCAACATAATAGCACCGAAACGCAGGGGAAGCCGGCGGCATGTGCCGGTGTCCAGGGCGACCGGGTGCGGTATTGTAGCGGTGTCATGAGAAGGAGCGCCCATAGTCAGGCCCCGAGGATGTAGCCATATCGGTGAACCTCGTTAACAAATTTCGGTGTCGTGATCGTGTAATTGCTTGGTCATCGGATGATCGACGGAGTGCCTCGAATTTATTCTAACAAGTGGTATCATGAACTAGGTTATTTGGGGTCGTGAAAGGTTGATCTAAAGGAAGAAGAAGCATCGACATAAATCTGTAGGAAGTGATTGTGATGCGGGATGAAAATCATCGGCGAGTTACGATTCGGGCAGGATTGGTCGTGTCATGATCTTCGAGCAGTAATCAGATCGAGAAGCATATACTCCCTCCGTCCTGAATTACTTGTCGCAGAAATGGGTAGAAACGGATGTATCTAGAACTAAAAATACGTCTAGATACATCCAATTCTCCGACAAGTAATTCTGGACGGAGGGAGTACTTGGCAAGCTGGCAGCAGTTTTTCGATGACAAGGCGAGAACGTATCGATCCAGACTGGGCGAGCGGCGTGGCATATTACGACGCTTGTACGCGCATACACGCGTTGGCGCTAGGCGGGGCTGGAGGTGGACGTGCTGTAGCGATGCAGCAGATGAGCACTCGGATTAGGTTGCGCAGGCATGCATGTGAGATTTGTTTGGACCAAAAAGGAGACCGGGTCTCCAGGTATGACACGGAATCAGAATCAGGATCAATCAGCGGAAAGAGAAAATCTACCATGGTACACATCTATGGAGGAGAAAGAGGACAAGGCAAAAGCTAGCATTCGGAGTTGGGCTTAGGAGCTACGCCACGTGAGAAGACCACGAGGTTTTTGTTGGAGAATTGCTATTAGTATGCGCAGGCTGTTCGTGTGCTCGGGCATCATCGTGTTGAAAGCTCGGATATTTTTTCACAGGTTCGCTGTACAAAGAACTATGGCGCCAACGGGTACCAGGTTTGAGGTGAAGAAGTTCGACGAAACTGAAACCTTGGGTTATGGCAGACATGGGTGAAAGATTTGTTAGCACAACATGGATGCTTGAAGGTGTTGCGGGAAGTCAGTTCAGTTAAGATGGTATTATCATGTGATGGATGGAAATTTGCGGAAGACGATTTGGGAGCCTCGAGCGTGTCATGCAGTTGGAGAAGTTCGGCTGGGTCGGACTAGATAGTCTGACGGATCGACGCAAGTCGGTTGGTACAGAAGACGATGGTGGGATCGGCGACGACGACATAGGAGCGTGATGATGATGGTGACCGACTTCTAGGGCGTGGAAACACGTGGCGCAGGCCTCGAGGGCTTGTGTGGCTTCGACAAGGCTATGGCGCGGGGTTGATTCAAGACGGTGCACATGAGAGCTTGGAGTCGACGGGGCACGGGGTGGCACGTACAACCACCATGGAGTCATGTTGAAGGTGGAGCTGGATTGAGGGGCTTTGATGTAAGGATCTAGGGAATCGAGGCCTATTTAGCAAGGGGAAAAGCAAGTGACATGCAGTTTGGACTGGAGCCGAGTGGTCTGATGGAAGCGTGAAACTCGTCATCGGTCGGTGATGATCGATGGTACTCTGCAGTGGAGGTTGAGTGGTGTGTGTTCGCGACCCTTGAGACTCGACCAGGACAGCGGAGGCTCGACGTGATAATAGCGGCGAGGCGTGCGGTTAGCACGGGACATGGAGACGGGCCAGGGCTCTGGTGGTCATACATGTGGTGAGACAACTGCGAATTTGACTCGGGATGACTACAAACAATGGTGAAATTCCTTCCAGTTTCAGACAGGCGGTCAAGAAAGGAGCGGTGACGTTGAGTTCAGATAACTCTTATGTGTGACGCCCAATATGTGAGTTGTTCATTTTTCACGCAGGTCAGTGACCAGTGTGTGATTGTGTTGGACGGATACTCTGGAAGTTGGGAGCACAAACTAGAGTAACAAGGAACTTAATTTTGCTTGAATGTTGACTCTAGTCAAGAAAAGAAGGGACTACAAGTTGCAGGTGGAGTCACATGGAGTCTTCGAGTAGCAGCGGTACTCATGGGATAAGCTCAAGTCCAATGTACATGGAAGTTTGACGCATGGACAAATTCAAGGTGGTGGAGTATATTCGCCAAGGTGGAGTTTGTGGGAGTTGTGTCGAATATAGTGTACGAGGTGGGTTACAGTTGGACTTGTAGTTGTATTGTGTTTACATAGGATGTGGAGTCGTGTCCTAGTAGGACACTTGTATCCTAGGCCTCTCATATATAGCGGGGTAGACACACGATGTAACCTATGCCAACATAATACACCGGAACGCAGGGGAAGCCGGCGGCATATGCCGGTGTCCAAGGCAACCGGGTGCAGTATTGTAGCGGTGTCATGGGGAGGAGCGCCCATAGCCAGGCCCCGAGGATGTAGCCATATCGGTGAACCTCGTTAACAAATCTCGGTGTCGTGCTCGTGTGATTACTTGGTTCTCGGATGATCGACGGAGTGCCTCGAATTTATTCTAACAAGCCCCATTACCATCGTTCTCCCAAACTTTTTTGTTTTCGACTCCCTCCGTCCGCGTCTGCTCTCTGGTCCACGGTGCTTGGGGCGACTCCATCCGTCCGCGTCCGCTCTCTGGACCACGGTGCTTGCCAGCGACGGCTCCAACCCCCTCCTCTGTGTCAGCAACAGCTTTTACCGTGACATCCTTCGGTGCAACTTGGAGCTACTCGCAGTCATTTCCAGTCCATATAAAATTTATTCCTGACGTTGATCTAGAGCCTTAGTTCTTGGGTTTGCGTCAACACTAGTTCTGTTTTGATAGTTCTATTATGATCTTTTTGTGAAAAATTCTATCGTATGGTCATCTTGTAGAAGTAGCTACGTATATGTATGCATATGCTGACTGTCTGAAAGTTTTTTGAACAATTGATCTCCATATGGATCACAAAGTCCACATAAACAATCGATCTCCACATAAATCACATTTTTTTAACACAAGAGCGCTCGAAGCCACCGCCACTTTTTATAGGATGTGAAATATCGAAATTCAGAAATAAGACTGCAAACTGCACAAGCTATCTTAGTAAAATAGGAAGCAAGACTAGCATGGAAAGTGGACGGCATTGCTTATTTAGTTAAGACTGTTTTTAGGCTATCTACCAGAACAAAATGTACAAACAAAGATGGCATATTACAAGTCTTTTGGAGTACTTCAAATTCGTAACAAAATGATGAACATTATGATCGAACCACAGCTTGCAGATGTTTTGCTAAAGCATTAGCAGTAAAGAACAATGATTTCACACATTATACCATTAGCACAATTTCACATTTTATATTGTTAGCCGACAAGTGATTCGTTTACTAAATCACTGTCAGTAAAATACTTGTCTTCCCACAGCAGCAAATAGAAGATATAAAGTCATGCACGATAACCATTGATCATGTCTTTTTACTAAATGATCATAGTACATTCGCTCAAGCCCCACGCGATGTTCACCGAATACATGGAGGTAGCAGTTGTCCAAAACCATTGGTATGCAACAAACCAGTACAGATAACAGAAACTTCAGTTTAATTTTAGATGCCTAATCACATAGAAATAAACCAAATTCATTCCATGAAGAACCACCATCGCTCCAAACTTAAAAGCATGCATACCTCTCTCACAGAGACCAATTCAAGCAGACATACGAAGCCAACTGTTCCATACAATGAAGAACTGATGATGCTTGCCGAAGATCCATTTCTTATAGACACCACCAACTATCTCATATTGATGTCAAATGTGCAACGGCTGTAACTCTGCATACAACGGCACATATGGCATATATGGCGGCTTCCCATCTACAGGACCAGAGATCAGCTTGACTTGCCCGCTATCCATATTATAGCAAGTGAATGTGATAAACCAACCAACATTGAAGAATATCATGTTGCATTCTGGATGAATCGCAATCCATTCAAAATCCTTGTCGAGGCGGAAATGAGAATCTGTTTCTCCAAATATGTACGAAGTGTCAACGCTATGCTTCAGTATCCATTCCTTGCTTTGATAGTTCTCGAGAACATAAACTACCAGTCGAATGGTAAAACCATCTTCATCTTGCTGAAAATTGGCATAATGCAGGCGACCCTGTGACCGCTGAATAAAACCATCAAGCAGAGCGTCAGCGTCAGGGACATCAATGTTCATCCATGTTTCCCCCTTGGTGTCCACCACAGCTAGACAAGGAGATATCCCACCACAATCGGCTTCAAAATGCAGATAGCCGTTAAGAAAGACAGATGCAGACTGACGATTAATGATCCTAATGTCTGCATTCCATTTCTTCTCCTTGTAAACCCATCCTCCGGTTTCAGAGGAATACACTGCCACCCCGACAATGTCAGGGTCCCAAAGCTGGTCGTGCTCATTTATCAACTCAAACACATAGAAATGCGACGACACGGCCGGATCGAAGCCCAAACGTGTGGTGGCCACCTCGCTGGTGGGCTTGCCGAAGTCCGGCAACACGGTCCACTTCTCCGTGGCAGGATTACACACCACATAATGGAACTCATCGCCCTGGGCTGAGACGTACCAGCGGCAGAGGAGGAGGCCGTTGCAGCAGTCCAGCAGATGGACGCGCCGGTGGTTGGGCAGGAAGGCGCAGGAGGTGTCGATCGGAGGGGAGCATCTTCCCGGGAAATCGGCGAAGCGGACGGGGGATTTCAGAAGCCAGTCGCCGGTGTTGGCGCTGCCGTAGAAGAAGCCGGCCGGTGTTTGGGGGAGCTTTTTGCGGTGTTCGGGGTGGTGGATGAGGGCCAGCCAGTGGTTGGAGACGCACTTGAAGCGGCAGAGCGACTTGACCGGGAGACGCGCGAGGATCTCGACGAGGAGGTCGTCGGTGAGTCTCTCGACTGCCATCCCGCCGTCGCTGTGGGGAGACGCGTACCGGCAACGAGACAAGGTGCGTCCTTTCTTCAGTGGGCTAGAGGTATCCACGGGGTCGGACATGGCGGCGGCAGAAAACAGCGGCGACGCCGTCGAGCAGAGCAAAGTGGGGAGTGAAACCGGCGGCGACGCCGTCGAGCAGAGCAAAGTGGGGAGTGAAACCGGCGGCGACGCCGTCCAGCAGAGGGAGGGGGGAGTGAAACCTAGCCGACGAGACGGGAGTGGAACTTTTTTTTTGAGGGAAGGCCATCATGGCTAGCTTTATTGATTTTAAATAGGAATTACATCGTCTATGAGTTTAGAAACAAGACAAGCCGAGGGCTCATAAGTCCATGAACTACAAATCTTATTAAAAAACAGCAACTAGCTAGCACATGCGCCGCTTGATTCGAAGAACGAGCACAATGTTTAAAGATAACCTTCCCAATTGACAAAGACATGTCAACGCATTCCGCAAATACTGCTACAGCCGAATCCCACCATTCTGTCTGTCCCGAGCAATAGTCAATAACAATTGAAGAATATGACTCTGCCTCCACCCCGTTGAATCCTAATAAGCCTGCAAAGATCAATCCATCTCTCATCGCCATAGCTTCCGAGGTAACTACATCAGATGCATACTGAATATATTTGCACTGAGCTGCCAAAAAATTACCCTTCTCATCTCTAAGGATTGCCGCCGATGCTCCAGCACCCTCATCCGCATAGAAGGAGGCATCTACATTTAACTTAACAAATTTTGGACTGGGTTTCAACCATCTTTGTTCATTTGTCACCCTGTTCTTCTCATTTGCTTGGTGAAAATTGTTCGCAATTGCCAGGACAGACATAGGCCATCTCATTGGCGGGGGTGTTGCTCCATCATGAGTGTGTTGGCGACGAGTCCACCAGAGGTACCAACTACCAACAGCAAGAATTTGTTTAATATCCAAGTTCGGCTTCATTGGAACTGGCTTATCCTCTGCCAACAGTAAATGCTCCAATATTACCGAACCGGAGCGATCCACCGTTGCAGCTTCGTCAAGAATTTCCAATATGCCCAGGCCTCTCCAAAGTTCTCTGGCCGTGAAACATTCAAAAAGAAGATGTTTTATATCCTCAGCAGCTCCATGACAAACCGGACAAGCACCATCCGATCCCACATGCCTGTTCATCAGTATGAATTTTAGAGGGATGACTCCATGAAGAGCACGCCAGCAAAATATCGAAACTTTATGTGGTATATTTAGTTTCCAGAGTCTAGTCCACACTTCCGGAGCTTGGGATTGCCTTGGGCGTTCAACCATGTTTGTGTGTGTCCCAAAAGTCCGATACCACTGTATTTTGTACGCCGATCGTACAGTGAATATCCCTCTGCGGTCAGGATGCCACGCAATAAAATCGTCAAAAGCATTGTGACTCAGCGGTATTTGCATAATTCGCCTAACGTCCACCGGATTCAGAATTGTTCGAAGCAGTGCTTCATCCCATGTCCCTGATATAGGATCGATTAAGTCACTAACAAAATTGAGCAGAGTATGACCACGACCTGAAATAACCTTCCTATCCGGGCTCCCTGAGATCCATGGATCAGTCCATATATTGACCTTCTCACCGTTTCCAATCCTCCAAATGTATCCCAATTTGAAAGTTTCCAATCCTTTCATGATACTTTGCCAAGTGAAGGAGGATCCATTTTTCAATGTAGCATGGAGCAGACTACAATTAGGAAAATATTTCGCTTTTAGTACCCTCGCACAAAGAGACTCTGGATTGGTTATGAGACGCCAGCATTGTTTTGATAGCATAGCAAGATTAAAGGAGTGGAGATCCCTAAAGCCCATCCCTCCTTCACTTTTTGGGTAACAAAGCTTCCACCAGGTGTACCAATGCAATCTTTTGTGGTCCTCGTCATCACCCCACCAGAATTGGGCAATCAAATCGGTGATGTCTTTACAGACCCCTTTAGGTAGGCTAAACACTGACATAGCAAACACCGGGATAGCTTGGGCCACCGCCTTAATAAGAATCTCTTTACCCCCTATAGATAATTGCTTTTCCATCCATCCCTTTAGTCTCTCTTTGATTCTTTCATAAAAATGTTTGAAACAATCGCTTCTATCAGCCCCCACCATTGCCGGCAGCCCCAGATACTTGTCAGACAATGCTTCAGTATCAATATGTAATCCTGACAAATCTCAGTCCTTGATGTGGCCGGAGTGTTAGGACTAAAAAATACACTTGATTTTGGCAGACTCACCATCTGTCCCGAGCTATGACAGTAGGTATCTAGAACATGCTGTAAGGAAGCTGCATTTAAAACATCTGCTTTCATAAGAATAAGAGAATCGTCAGCGAATAAAAGGTGTGATACTGACGATGCATTTCTACACACTCTAATTCTCTCTATGCCACCAGCTTCTTCTTCATACTGCAGTAAACTAGAAAGACCTTCTGCACATAAGAGAAATAGATAGGGAGAAAGGGGGTCCCCCTGCCTAATACCTCTCGTTGGAGTAAATGAATCTGTCTCTTGAGAGTTGAACCTTACTTTATATCTCACAGAGCTCACACATGCCATCATCATCTCAACCCACTGATTATCGAAACCGAGTGTGAGCATCATATCACGCAGAAAAGACCATTCCACCCTATCATAAGCTTTGTGCATATCAAGCTTGACCGCACACAATCCCGTCTGTCCAGCTCTCTTATTCTTGATTTTGTGCACACATTCATATGCAATCAAGATGTTATTAGTAATCATCCGTCCTGGCACAAAAGCACTTTGTGTAGGGGAAATAATCTCTTGGCAGGATACTTTTCAGTCTTTGAGCTAGCATCTTAGAAATTATTTTGTATAACACATTGCAAAGGCTAATAGGGCGAAATTGTGTTACCAGTTCTGGAGAATCTATCTTGGGTATAAATGGGCTCAAGCGTGTCGCAACTGGGCCGAATTGGAAGAATCAGGCCCAGATACAAAAAAAATGACATTCACATTTGATTTCTCTAAAGAAATGGAAATTCTGTACTATGATGTTGTATGCCAAAGATTGGATGGATCAACAACTTGCTTCCATGTAAGAATCACACTGCCATGGGAGGAAATGAGAATATTTCATTTCAACTCGTTTCTATAAAAATGTAAAGGAGACTTCATGGAAGTTTGTGCAAGGTTTTTTTCTTCTTTAAACGATGTACACATTTTTTTATAGGAAACCAAGTAGGCTTTATAACATCTTTGGTACAGCTAAATCTCCAACCACCAACAAGTTTCACTACATGAGCAACAGAGTTACATATTCGACCACAAGTCCCCCACAAAAAAAAAATAACATATTCAACCACAAGTTCATAAGCAAGAGCAAGAGGGACTTGGCCTCTCTGAAAAGCAAACCTTTAGGCGAAGGGGTAGGCTGTTGTGAGCAAGAGGGCTCAAATATTGCACCGGTTGGAGGATTCGGCTCTTGCCAAATGGGCCCTGCTGCCATGTAGCCATTTCAGAGTATACACCAGGATAGTTTCAGTTTCTCTTGGAGGCTTGAAGCTGAAACCGGAGGCCTGCTTCTACACAGCAATGGTAATATCCACTTGATACCAAAAGTCAAAATTTAGAAACGATGCCGCAACGCTACATTGATATGCGAAACATTACATGTATCTTGGTAAGACTAGAAGCAAGACTACCATGGAAGATCAAGAGCATTGCTTATTTATTAGATTCTTTTAAGCCATCTACATGAACAAAAAAGCGCAAACAAAGATGGCATATCCCTTGTCCTCTGGAGCACTTTTTGTTCAAAAAATCAAATTCTAACAAAATAATGGAACACTACGATCCAAGCACGTCTTCCTGATGTGCTGTTAACAATGTTTTCCATTTGAAACACAACACGAGTAAGTAGTTTTTCTTTAAACCATTAGTAGTAAAAAATGATTTCAAACATTATATCATTAGCAGATTAACATATTACTCCCTCCATTCCTTTATATAAGGTGTATAATTTTTGGCACGGTGACCAAGGCACATAATTTTACACAAATTAGGGCGAAATTAACCTTGACTAAATCATTGATTAGTGACAAGTAAATCATTTAGCCTTGGAAAGGAAGAGATACATGCAATCAGGGGAGAGAGACTTTCCTTTTCTTCTATATAATGAGAGATACATGCAATCGAGGGAGAGATTCTTTCCTTTTTTGGAGGGCTAAAGACGGAATTACGAGGAAATAAAAGAAATGCACCTTACTTTGTGGAATTTTATCAAAAGCCAAATACACCTTATATAAAGGAACGTCGGGAGTACATCCCTAGCAGACAAGGGACCGTTTACTAAATCACTGTCAATAAGATGCTTATCTTCCCACAGCTGCGAACAGAAGATTAAAATTTAAGCTGCATGCTAATCATTTTACTACATGATCATCTTCACTAAAACACTATCTCGAGTTGACCAAATAGATGGAGGTAGCAGTTGTCCAAAACATTGGTATGCAGAAACTAGTACAGACAAAGGGAGTTTTCTGGGCGAGGTCGGTGTATAAAGTTTTTTTTTTCGTGCTTCAGTTATCATTCCATCTGACAAAGTTATTTGGTTGGCTTGGGCTCCCCTCAAATGCAAACTCTTCTTCTCGCTGGTCGTTCATGGGAGAATTTGGACCGGATCGGCTTGCTAAGCGTGGCCCACTGAAAGATGTGGTTTTTTGTGATGCTGAGCAAGAGAATATGGACCACCTTTTAACGGGATGTGCGATCGCCAGCATCGTCCGTAGTTCAACTCTCCTTTGGGCTGATCTTCAGCAGGTTGTCCCCCTTCCGATCTCTCTCTTTGCAAATGGTGGGAGATGGCAAAATCCAGAACGCATGGAGCATTTGGAGAGAAAGAAATGGCAGGGTGTCATAACATCCATAGCTCCCTCCAGAGTCCAGAGAGTAATTGACCAGATCAAGGCTGATGCTAGACACTGGCAATTGTTAGCTCAAGAAAAGTTTAAGCTGCCATGATAATCATTGTTCATGTCTTCGCATAGTGATCATAGTACCTTCATTCAAATCACCAGAAAATGTTTTCTTAACACAA